AAGTCTTTCCACGCCTCGATCGTTGCCTTACCAATATTAGGGTCTTGGTTGTATTAGTTGTGGTGTTCTGGTTAGAGAAGTTTAGTTAGTTTTAGTGTTGTGTTGTAGTGCATATGGGTATTATCTAGGACCAGAGGATATTTCGCACTTTTACAACGTACAACTTTATGAAATTTCCGTTCCTGGTACGTATTAATGATCGTCAATTCTACAATTCTATATTTGGAACTTTAGAAATTATGACGGTTTGTGAAAAGGTGTGACCCTGTGATTTCATGATGATAACGGAAAAATTCCTGAGATTTAAATTCCCTATTGATCATATTTTTCAATCAATGACGTTTATATTTATTCGAAATCTAAAATTCTTTAAGAATCGAAAATCTACTAGAATCGCCTGATTTCTCGCGATTTTACATGCCATCATGATCTGCAGAAGTCACTTTTTGCAAACGCAACCCGAAACTGTGTATCAAGTCGCGCTCCAGATGATCATTGGAATGAATTTCAGGAAAATTTTTGAAATTTGGTTTAGCACACAATTCATTACACATATTTCTTTTCATTAATTATGTACTTCACGTAAATATTACAATACATAATAATACGTATACATTTTTGAAAGATTAAAAACTTTTACATTATTAATTTTGTTTATTCGCATTAATGTTTTTTTGATAAATTATGCATTTTTTTGGGAAATTTTTTCATTTTTTTTTTTTACGTGCTTTCATTATGGTGGGGTCGACATTTTATTGAAAAATCTTAAACTGTACCATTGTACTACTGCTAGTCATACTCGAATTTTTGCTCCATTTCGTAATGATTCACCCTTTACAGTAGAATTCCATTGATAAAGAAGCCAGTTTGTCCAGTGATAAAGATTTAGCTTTTTCATATTCTTAAAATTTTCAATATCGGCAGGTAGTTATTTATTATTATTTTGTTTTGTTTTTTATTTATATGAAGAAAATGTGAAAAAGTGTGAGACGAAATATAAAACAAAATATGAATTGAATTAATAAGGAAAAGAATTAGTTTTTAAAATAAAGATAATTACTATTAGTATAGTATAGCGATAGTTTATTTAATTAATCGATAATATCATTAATGATCGTTTGGATTGCTTGGTTTGATTTCCTAATAATCACATTATCATCCGAAACACATGGTACACGTTTTCAATTTGCTTTGCAAACGGCCATAACTATAATTGTGGAACTATCAAACAATTGTAGAATTATTCTGCATATTTAGAAATAGCGTTAATTCTCCTCAGCACTAATAGCTCTGCTAATCGAACCATGGTTATGTCTAGAGATGTGTCGCATACAGTACAGTGCGCAAAAAATTTTTTAAAATATTCTAGAACAAATCATTAAAGTATCCCTATCTCAAAAAAGTTTTTGACTATGAAACTGTCTTTTGCACTCTAACAAAAATTATTCCTTGCATATATTACACACTATACAACTTTACGTACTGTACGTACTATACGTGCTGTACGTACTGATATCTAGCTATGTCACGTGTTATACAAGAACGGAAAATATCTGGATGTCATTGAATATAATTTTTTTTTATCAAAATAGATAATATTCAACATTTTTTGACTTAAAGTTGATGATTATTCTCCAAATATTATACACTGAAGATTGCATTTATTTGTCATGAAATTATGTATATCTGAAGACTGCATTTTTTCTATTATATAAAAGTGGAAGAGATAAAATCTTTTTCTAAGATATCAATATATCTAAAGTCTTATATCCGATAATTCTAAATTAAAACTACAATAAAAACCATATTCATGTAAAAATGCAATGAACAATTTGTAAATTGAAGTGTATCTGTCACATAAAAAGAAATATCCTAAGTTTTAATTCAAAATTCTAACCAACCAAAATTTATAAAATCTAATTCTTAAAAAATATTAGTTAATGTTAAAAAAATTGTCTAATGGAAAAAGTTTGGATTATTTGGATCCAAAATTTGGTCGGTACCTGCTGCACTCGTATGGGCCGATTTACGAATAGCGTGATTAAAACTTTCAATGATTAGAAAAGTCAGAAAAAACATAAAAGGAAATTTTGCATATACAGTATTTTAGTATCTAGCTCAATATAGTTAAGTAAAAAATAAAAATATTTCATTGTATGATACCACATATTATAGAGAACTATCTTTTATAATGACTTGTTAAAATCATTACGAGCCCAACAATTCATGAATTACATTACAAATCAGATTTTAGGTTATGTTGAGAATAAGATATGGGATGAACAATGGCAAGCCCGGTGATTTACGAGCCAAGCTTGAGTTTATTGACAAAGGCCGTTGCTACAATTCCGGGAGAGCTAATATACGTTACGGCCAGATTTAAAACGAATTGCAAACATTAAAATGATTAAAGCAAGCGGAAGCGAGCATTGTGCAAGTGACTTTATTGTATCGATTAGATTATCAGAGAGAAAAAAGGGTAAAAGTTTTCTATATATTATTGTAATACAGTAGTTATAATGTACAATTTAATTAATTTAATTTCTAATATTTCTAGTCAAGTTTTTTATCCAATTTATCGTCATGTTAATCACATTATTCATCAAATATTTCAGACACCATAACATATTCGGAACACGAATTCTTTTAAGCATTTTGGATTACGAATAATGCATGACTTATATATAAGCTACAGATGAATGGACTACAGACGAATGTGCTTCACGAATGCTCTCACTCATAGGCGTTCCCATTGTTTTAATAGATTCTTGAGATCGTTTTTTATAAATCAGAAATCCAACAGTAATCAATAATCCAACTAAAATAATTACACCTACACCAATACCAATTCCAACATATAAATTGTTATTTTGTTGAGTAGTTTCTGGTTGGCTTGTTGCAGTAGGTGCTAGATCTGCTGAAGCAACCCAGTTGTAATTTTGTAAGTCAAGAAGATAAATACTATTAGTGCGTGAAACCGTTACTGTAACTTGGCCTGAGTATATTAAGGTTATTAATAAATTAATAAATTTAATGGCTATTATAAATAAATAAGTTAAATACCAAATGCTATAATCATATAATTTTTATATAATGCAGCAGAATGATATGTAAGTGGTGGAGGTGCATTTGTTCCAGATACACTTGGAACAGACCAAATCCAGGTATTTGTATTTAATATTGCGAGGTCTGAAAATATATTATCGGTGGTGCTATTGCTATTTAACGTTCCACCATATAGAATAATTTTTCCGTCTTGCGCTGTCAAAAAATAAAATAATATTCAGTAAAAATATATATATCAAACTATAATTTTTATTGACACTACGTATTAAGTTCAGCTTACTTAAAACAGTAGAATGTCCAACACGAGGTGAGACAGTAGAACCACTGGCAATCTAACAATCACAAAAAAAAATTAGGTTTAATAACAACAAGAATAATAGTTAATTATATACATTACTTTAGTAGACCAGTCGTAGGATTTTGTATCAAATGTTAGAATCTACATTTAGTTTTTAGAATTAAGTGAAGGCAAAATTTTAAATATTAAAAAAAAATATTGGTAACCAGATCATACCTGGTTCATATTAATAAGAGTATAATTTGAACCTTCGCGCCCACCAATATAAATAATAAGACCATTTGGTAATAATGTAGCAGTATAGGCATCATAATTAATGGACTGGGGCCGAATTTGAGTTGACCATATCATAGTAGTGACGTCAAGTATACTCATATCATTATAGAAAATTGAACTATTAAAATTTTTCCCCCCTAAAATAAAAATCTTTCCGCTATTATCAATAACAGCTTGATTTTGATTACGTCCTGCGAAGCTAGAATTAAAATTTTTAATACTTGGTGTTGTCCATTGTGCAGTCTTAGAATTAAATACGTATACTGATGATACATATACGTAAGTTGCAGTAGTTGGAGTATAAGTTCTTCCACCAACTAAAAAAACAGTAGAATTATCAATAGGATTAAGACATGAACTACCGAAATCATATCCTACTGTCATTCCAATCTCATTGTGCCATGGCGGTGTAGTTATGTTAAATGAATTTGACAGATCAAGATACCAGACTTCATTAGATGCAGAATTTCCAGTTGCTCCGCCAAAGAAATAAAGCCTATTGCCAACTAATGTGCTGGCTTGTCGACTTCTACCATTAGGTGAATTCTGACAGGTAACAAAATAACATACTGAGTTAAATATGATAAAAATAAGAATATTGTAAAGAAAAAAAAATTTTCGCAGACCTTTTCTTAATATGGTTATGTTTGACCATGTGAATCTGTTTGACTAAAACAGTAAAGATTTTTATAAAACCCTTTTAATATATATTAGGGTAGCTGCGCTACGCAATCACGGAAAACTATCGGTTACATATAATGAGATAAGAGTTGTTTAAAAGATTCATTTTTATTATACCATACATTCTGTTTCATTACATTTTGGTAAGTTGTCACAGCTTATGGTTTATTCAACGTTCTATATTGGGCCCTTCAAAAAAAATATCAATCAAACTTAGGGGGTCAACAGATAATCTATTTATTAATCTTTAATATTTAAACTGGATTGTCAAAAACATAATCCAGTTAGTAATTTTATGGGTCAGGTTATCAGATACACAGTTAAATTTTTGCTTTAAAAAAATTTGGTTTGATTTAAATGTTATATCTACTGTAATTATATATGAAGATCACTAGTAGAGGCATGTAGCAATTTTGTTAAATAAAAACAAAATTTAAAGTAACATAATATTATATTTATAACTCCCTTAGAACATATCAAGTGCCTTGTTAGAATAAATAATGGTATAAAGAGTATAAATCTGCAAAAATTAAATAAACATGCAAAAAAATCCCAGCAAGAATAAGAATAAAAATTAAATAGTGACTGCTAATTCTAATTTCCCAGTAAATCATTTTTGATCAATAGATTGTCCATAACATAAATAAAGAATATTGAAATATTAAACCCGAAAAATCTAAAAAATCTGCATCAATTAACAGTGTTTTTTTCACGAATGGATGCCCTCAGGCATTTGATTAACTGGATTTAATGCACATTTACAAATTTTTATTAAATATCCATTTATTAAAAAAATCTAAAGTGGCTATTGGCTGATCATGAGCTACCAAATGTCCTGCTTCGAAAATTTTCAGGTACGTAAGTCCTTTAAATGTTTTAACGTCTCCAGCATAATTACCAGTAGTTGTTATCCAACGAGTAACATTAGCATTATTAAACCCTTTGGCACCACTCCATTCGAGTGCTTTTATCCACGCTTCAATACCTATATGAAAAACGATAATTAATTAAAATTTTTAATATAATAAAGCTTAAAGCTAATCTATTATAAAGTTGTCTCGCCACACGTATGGTGGTTTATCATAATTCCAGACACAATAAATTTAATGGGACAGTTCATTTCACTAAAGAGAGTTACTTGCAACCTCTTTAGACATTTTATAAAAATATACACTGTATTATCGAAATTTAGTAGTAAAGTGCTTACCAAAACAATTACAATTTTTATGATAAATAAAAAATTTTAAAAAAATCGACATATTTATAAAATTACCTGCATATATTAATACTCGAATGTTGCTTTCCAAGAGCGATGAAACATATGCGTCGAAGGGATGTATACTATATATAGTGAGAATATTTATATTTTTAAAAGTTTTAAATTTAAATTAATTTATACTAATTGATTAATTTAGATTGCTCACATATCACCAGAATTTATAAAGTATCCTTTAAGATTAGTATTAGAAACTCGAAAGACAAACGAAGGATTAACGCCCAACTCAGTTTTAACATCTTCACGATTAGAATATTTCTCAACAGCTTGACGTTCTGGATAACACGAATCATTGTAACATGATTTTCTTATATCAAGCTTACTCCTATTAACATTGAAACAAGTAAGAGCCATTCCATCTAAACATTGTTCAGCAGCTACACAATCTGTTACATTTTTTGAGTCATAACATCTTTTAGTTAATTTAGCACACGGAATATAATCTCTTCTCAACTGATTGCATGTGGAATTATCTAATACTGGTCCCATAAGGTGAATCACAGGCCATTTCTAGTAGATATTTATATTGCACTAGCTCGTTGAAAAGACCATTTCCAATCAAGATGGATTTAAGATTAATATGAATATGATTCTTTATGACATCGTAGTATTTATTATATTTGTTTATATCTGAGGCTATGGCAGGTATGTAATGACCGGCGTACCTGTTAATGTAAATACCAATGATTTAGTAATTTTGAAATTTGCTTAGACTATATTAACAATATTACAAAGTTAACAATATTAACAATATTTAAAAATATTAAAAATACTAGCACATTAACAATATTAACAATATTAACAAAGTTAACTAAGCTAACAACCTTAATAAATTTAACAATATCAAATAATGCTTGCAATATGAAAATCTAAATTAGCATATTGACGAAACTCTTGGAAAAAGATTTGTAAAAATACGTATACATCATGTGCAGCAGCGAAAGTGTCATATACATAATCTCCATAAGAATATCCTGCATTAGTTGGCTATAAAAATAATTTTATGTATTGTTAATAATTACACAAATTACGTAGTATTCAAATAGTGAAAATATTTTTTAATACTTGATCCAAGAAAATAATACTCGAGTTGCTAATCCATGAGTAAGGATTATAAGTTGTATGATTTCCTTCTGGGCTAATCGAGCAAGGACCAAGTTCATAGTATAAACCTATTAGAGAAGAAGCCCTATAATGTATAATTAAAATATAAGTAATGATGAAGTTTTTAACAATATCAGGATGTATGTGTAACTCAAAATTTTCAAGTCAAAATATTAATTTGGCCTGTCTATTATGATTGTGACACAGTTTGATTTCAAATCATCACATACGCACTAGGCATAATGCTAAATCGTCATATGGAAATGACTACTAACACGTACTATGTGATGATTTAAATCATATTCCATGATCATTATTTTTTTACACTCCAAGTCAACAGAGGATCAAAAATGTAATAAAGTCTCATTAGCCCTGTTAATAAAGGGGCATGTTTCTATAGCCCTCTAATTACATCCAGGCCTTGGTATAATCGCACACCTGGGAAACAAAAATTACTATATGAATGCCAAATTTTATATGTTTTTATAATAGCTAAACTAAAAACTATAATAATTTAACGAGGTTGTGATTATTTGAGAGTGGCTATAACGAGAGGTCGTCTAAAGACTTGTAGTATTTTATATTTGGCATGTAACTTTTAATTTACAGATCGATTAGTAATCAATTTTAAAAACTACATGGCTTTAGACTATCTCTATAACGAGGTCTGACTACATATAACAATAAAATAATGTAGGATAGTAATAACAACTATCAAGTTTCTATAGAGTTCAAAGTTTATAATGGTGCTAATTGCATATATATGTGCCCGACTCTGAGTGTTCTGAGTGCCAGGTAATTGTTGACAAAATAATATTGCTAATAAAAAAAAGTGGTGCAGATGAGGCGAAATTACAAGGAGTATGAAGTAAATACAGCATAATTTCTTCTATAAATGCTCTTGCACGGACTCTTACAAATACACCCCTATAAAACTCTGCACGTTCTATTACGGAATTCAGCACGTAATCCAATTTCTGCACGGAAATTTATACGGAACTGCACGGAAATTAATTATCGAAAAACTTTAAACATTTAGTCATACGTATTTGTAAGTAAAAGTATACAGAAAGGTATTTTAAAATATTTAAAAAAATACGCTTCTACATGTAAAAATATACGTGACAACACGTAAAAAATATGCGAAACCACTTAAAAATATACGTGACAGCACGTAAAAAATACGTTAAACCACGTAAAAATGCACGTCAATATATGTAATGTTGCACGGAATCCGCGCCTTTTGACGTGTTTTAGATGTGCTGTTTAATGCACTGTCCCGTGGATATTTACGCGCAATTTCGTGTTGTCTTGTAATTAAAATTCCGTGTACCGTGCAGTGATTTCTTATAGGGCATCTTTTATTATCGCGTATTAATTTGATACAGGCTATGGATGCATTGGATCGGCTCGGCCCGTCCCATCTTTATGATAAATTTTGAAACAACTAAAAAATTTTCTGACGATCAAATTACAAAAATTCTTAGTTCGGCTTCATTTGTTCCAAATTTTTAAGAAACAGTTATGATTTAGTATTAACGGTCTAGTCTGTCCTTTTAAAATATATCATACTTGATTTGAGAAACAAATAACAAGTATTTATATTAGTATACCAAATCAAGGTCGTGTTACATCTCTAATAAAGGTCATGATAATTAAAGATAAGGTAATTATTTTCAAAATATAACGATAAAAA